CTTGGAGGTGATGGAGAGGCAGATTCCTGAGACGTTGGTCCTCGAGGCATTTGCCGATGCAGAGGCACGTTGAGAGTCTGAATCTCAATTAAGTCAGGCGACTTGGGCATCGCGTCTCTGGAGCTCAAACTGTTTGCCGGGGAAAGGCTCAGAGAGACGGACCTCGCCGGAGAGCCTGCGACCAATCCCGAACCCGAAGAGGAGCAAGTTGTGGAGGAATTGGAAGTAGACCGATTGAAATTCTCAATTTCTACTGCGGCAAAAGCTCTTCTAGAAGCTGATCCAGTACCAAGGGAACTTTCCCTGCCATTCACCGAGTCTCTCGGCGAGTAGAACTCTTCGTCTTCATCGCCTCTGCTCGAGGCCACATCCGCGTTATTCCGGTGGTTCCGCCGGAGACTCTGCTGGGTGGTCAGCGGCGGCAAAGGGCGGAGCTCCGGCGAGCCCATTTTCCGAGGATTGGGAGTGTTGCCGCCACTCCCGGCGGCTATGCTGCTTCCATTATACGCAACGCCGCCCACTGCTGCGGCTTGCGAGTTCGCCAAGGTCCCCAGGTACAGGAACTCTGCGCTCGTCTGTGAAGGTCTCTGCAGCTTCGGGAGCTGGTGGTGGAGGTTATTAGGAGCTTGGTGGAATGAAGTGGTAGTGCCGGTATCAGATCTATGGCTCTTGGAGTGGTTAAACGACGGGGACCTTCGGCTTTCCCTGTGGCGTTTGTGGAGGAAGACGGCGAGGGCGACGATGGCGATGGCGGCGATGACGGCGGCGAAGGCGCCTCCAATGAGCTTGGGCGACGCGGATTTGGACTTGGCGCCCTGGGAGGATACGTTGGCGGGGAATGAAGCGAAGGAGACCGGAGGAGGAGGCGAAGGCGGAGGAGGAGGGGTGACGTATGATGGGAAAAACGGCGCGTTGGTAGGGGTAGAAGCGGAAAACGGGGTTTGGGAGGAGGGTGGTGACGGAGGGGATGAATCCTCTGGGAGGTACGGTTGGTGGAGAATGCGGCGGTTCTGGATGGCAGCGGAGGAGGAGAATCGGAGGCCGAAGGATAAGAAGACGATGAGGACGGCGGTGGCGATCGCCGAATAGTAGGTGGGCATTGTTGATACGGCGTTTTCTATGTAAAACAGCTAGCTCACAGTGTATAATTAATTCTCTCTCTATATTCTCTGGTGTGTGTGTGTGTATGTGTGAGAGAGAGAGAGAGAGTAAATGCAGGATTTAGGTGAGAGAAGGAATAAGGATCAATGTGTGTGAATGAATGTAAACTCTACACCCATTTCACGCAGTGCAGTGTGTGTGTGTGTGTGTGAGAGAGAGAGAGAGAGGTCAAAAGGTAAAGAAGAAAAAGAGAGATAAAAAACGGTAGAGTGAGAGTACGGTGAACCGACGGTGGTGCCATTAAATATATTATTTAATTGTGTTTTTTTAAATGGAGAAAAAATAATTAAATAATTAAAATAAGTAAGGCTATTGTTGATAATACGATGGGTAATGGAAGAATATAGTTTCCGGAGTGATATGGGTCCAGCTAAGATTTTGCTGGTGAAGGCCAAATGGTTACCAGTGGAATTTCTTAGAAATGGCTAGGGGGAAGTGAGGGGTAATAAGTGGATTTTGGGGGGCGATAGTGAGAAGAGGGGTTAAGGCTGATGGGGAGTTTAGGGGCTTTAATAAGTTTATATCTAGAATGGGGATGCAGGAGATGCAATTATGGGGGCATAATTTTACATGGGGGAATAACAGGGGAGAAGAGTGGTTCATTGAGGAGAAACTTCGACAAAATTTTTGCATTTTTTGGGTGGCTGGCATCTCACCAAAATGCTAAGGTGGAAAATATTTTTAGAAGTGCTTTAGATCACAGATTGTTATCTCTCAATGATGATTCAGAGGTGATAGGGTTTAAACCAAACGATTTTATTTTGATAAGAGATGGCTTAAGAGAGCAGGTGTTCTCGAAGTTGTTCAAGAGGGATGGGGTAAAGAGCAAACAAGGACTCCTATGTACCAAGTGTATGAGAGAATTAAAGCTGCCAGAGTCTCTTTGCTTAAGTTGAGTGCTTCTCTCAGGAGAAATCAGATTCATGAGAAGCAGGAGCTGACAAAAAAACTGGATGTGATGAGTACAATGGGAAAGGATAGGGACTGGGAAGAGTGGGAGAGGTTGAGGAGAGCTTTGAACAAGATTACAAAGGAGGAGAAGGAGTTTTGGGCGCAGAAGGCTAGAATTCAGTGGATCAAAGAAGGTGATTCGAATACTAAGTACTTCCATGTTGTTACAATGCAAAGGAGGAGGTTGAATACTATTGCAACTATGGTGGATGAGGACAATAATGTGTGGAGCACAAAGGAGGAAATCCAGAATTATATTTGCAGCTATTAGGAAAACCTCTTTAGCTCTGAAGGGTCCAAGGGAGAAGCATATATCTTGCACCTGATTCCTGAAGCTATTACTGCAGACATGAACACAAATCTTGTTTCCCCTGTCACAAATGAGAAGATAAAATCTGCATTGTTCATCCTGGATCCTGGCAAAGCTCCTTGGCAAGATGGTATGAGTCCTCTTTTCTTTCAGAAATTCTGGGATGTATAGAGACTTTTGTCTTGCAGTGGGTAGTTTCTTTGAGTCTGGCAGACTGCGTAGTAGTTGGAACCATACTATAATTTCTCTAATTCCCAAATGTTAAAATCCTTCTACTTTAAAGCAGTGTAGACCTATTAGTTTATGTGGGGTGGCTTATAGAGTCACAGCTAAGATTTTGGCTGTTAGGATGAAACCTTGCGTTTTTATGTGTGTGAGTGATAACCAGGCTGCCTTTATTCCTGGAAGGCAACTAATGGACAATGTGGTGATTGCTCAGGAGGTTGTTCATTTTTTGAATAGGCATAGGTCTGGGAAAAGAGGTTTTATGTTGGTTAAGCTAGATATGGAAAAAGCTTATGATAGGATTGAGTGGGTTTGTGTGAGGAAGGTTATGTTGAGGATGGGTTCTAATTCTAAATTTGTGGATTGGGTGTGGGCCTGCATTTCCTGTACTTCTTTTTATTTTAATCTCAGTGGGGAGTTGAGAGGGTATGTTAATGCTACTAGAGGTCTCAGGTAGGGGGATCCTATGTCCCCCTACCTCTTCATTTTGATCTCTGAGGACTTCTCTAGGCTGGTTTATAAGGAGGTTAGACATGGTATGTTTAAAGGATTCAAAATTGCTAAACAGAGCCCCCATGTATCCACTTGATGTTTGTGTTGGGGTATACAGTAAACCAAACTTTTATGTGAGCTTTTGGATTGTATTTATTCGATTTCCCATTTGATTGAAATAAATGTTTTCACATTGTTGCATTCTTTATGATTGCTTGAATGCTAAATGTCCAATTATCTTATATTGTAGACAATGTGGTGTGTTAGTAGTCACACAGAAGATTACAATGTCGGTCCCTTATAAGATATAAATGGTTTTCACAACTGAGATAGTTATGGACATGACTATCGGTTTAGGTTGTAGTATAAACTGGATATAGCTTGTCTTGGCTATTGGTTTATACTAGTGCGCTGCGTCGCATTGAATGGATCACAGTTGAGATGTGTTCTTCTGTTCTGACTATCATGAAGAACCTAGGTCTCGGTGACTCTACTAATTCTTAACCCTAACTGTGATACTTAGATACGTGGGATATTTGTTTGTTACTTTCATTTACCATGGGTGAGAACCAAGTATTGGTTCAATATGCTCCATATCTTGGGTAATGACATTATCTGCATTATATCTATTTATTGGCATTAGGGCACCGTGTCCTAGACATCCAAGTTGATGACGTCCCCTTAAGGAACTCATAAGGATTATTGTATAAACCCTGCATGTGGATTTAATCCGTACGATAATAAGGTTGAGTGGTACCACTTGAGGAATAAAAGATATTAATCAATTAAAGCAGTCAGAAGCTTTAATAATTAATGGACATGCGATATCTTAAACACGGGGAATTATATCGAGTCTAATAGAAGCCCTGATTCATTTTGGAATAGGACGGGAGATTAATTCTCTAGTGGAATGAATTAATATTTACGGGCCAAATTGTGTTTTGGGCTGAACATAAGAATTTGGTCCTATAGGGAGCCCAAACTCTATACCTTCTAAGAGATCCCTAGTCTGGCCCAAGGACTCTATAAAAGGAGGGATAAGCACACGTTCTAGAACCCTAAGAAAAATGATCACGTCTTCAGCCACCACAGGAAATGTGGAAGAGGAGGAAAACGTGAGGGGTTCAGAGAAGAACGAAAGGCAATCCGCTCCCTGACACCGCTTAAAGAATCGCCGTCCATCCGACATCCAAGCGTAGTCGGGACACAGACTAGAAGGTCGCTCAGATCGAATCAAACCTCCATTTCAAGATAATTCTATGTTCTTCCTTTAGGAGCATGCCTAGGGTTATTAGAAATCATGTATATACGTGTTTGGTATCCGATATCGATCCGAGAGAAAGACCGCCTCGTCGGCGTGTTCCAGCAATTGGTATCAAAGCCGCGGTTTCGTGGATTATCGGCTCTGCCTGGAACATGTAGTTGATTTCATTTATTCGTTTACTCATTTTCAGTCATGTTCATGGTATGGATGATTGTTTATCTCGTTTATGCTTCTGGATGTTGTCTATCGCAACCCTTGTGTATTGTTGTAATCGTTTTTCCCAGTAGATAATAAGTGTGGGTAGTATAGGTAATTTTGTAGACTGTAGTAGGGCTGTTTTTGTTCGATTTTTGCTGTAATTTTGTGTTCAAAGTCGAACTTGATGAAGATGATCAGCCTGTGGCGGGGTCAAATTCTATCGTCTAGATGAAGTTTTCGGCCTTTTTCCGTCGGTGGATGCCGATATTGCGTGAATGGCCCGATTAACGCGAGATGCCGATTCGAGTGTTCATCCACGACCTTGTTGAATCATGTAATAGTTTTGATAGGCTATTAGTTGTTTTTAAGGGGTTGCGATAGATGTGTTTTAATTTTCGCATTTTCTTATCGCTTGTGGATGTCAATTTAATTTTTGCTAGAGCATGTTTATTTGATTATGTGTCTAGCTGATTTAAATCGATTTTCTGGCATGTTAGAAATCATGTGAATAGGTGTTAAAAATTCTTAGAAAGTTGTTATTGCTTTTGCTTTGAATTTTAGGAGCATGCTAGGATTTATGTGATTTACGTGTTAGGAGCATGATAAGAATTTTATTATTTCTGTTGCATGCTGATAAAAACCTTCAAGTAAAAATGACTAAGTGAGTTTAATATGAATTTTAATTAATTCATTTTTTCCTCCACAATTGGTGTTTAAGTAAGGTGTTTGTCCCTCGTGGGACCCTGGGAGTCTCCCCCTAACGGATGTGGCATTCACGAGATTACTAGATAAGACTTCTATTCAAATGACTTAATCTTTAGGTGAAGTGAGTGGCATACGCGTGACCTATGGGGTCTCCTCCCTAGCGGATAGTGTCATTCATGAGCTCACCGGTAAAGATTATTTCGAGATAACCGTAGAAAATTATTTACAAGTGATGTGTCTTCCCCATCGGTAAGTTCATCAATCGTGGATGATTGTTCTTGGGGTTAAATTGTGGTCATCACTTAGATGTGAATTTTAATATAACTCCCCAACGGAGTCCCTGTTTTGATTCACATGGCCAGTGTGAAAATTTCGACTATTAATTTCATTCGCCTTAAGGACAGGTTGGCGTGCAATTGAGATTAATGACTGGATGTTTGCTTAATTGATATATGTGTAAACGTCCACCCAACGTAGCTTGCATGTGTGTTCGTTAAGTTGTCGGAGGTTGTATTAAATAATGGTTTTTTGAAGGTTTCCATATTTTATGCTTCAAATTTATGTGAATTATTGCTTACGTGTTCGCAATTATTTATTTCAGTTATTCAACATGTCATTCAATCCGCTTATGGTCATTCTCAATCAAAACAAGCTTACTGGTCCAAATTATTTGGACTGGAAGAGGAATCTGGATATTGTCCTTGTTGCTGATGAGTACAAGTTTGTGCTCACCAGTCATGCTCCTGCTCCTGCTCCTTTGAGCGCCCAATCTACTGAAGAGGAAATGGAGGCTCATCGGAAGTGGCATAAGGCTGATGAGATGGCTCGTTGCTACATCTTGGCATCTATGTCAAATGTTTTGCAACATTAGCATCACACCATGCCTACTGCTGCTGACATGATGTTGAGCCTCAAGGAACTCTTTGGTGAGCAAAATAGGGCTGCTCGATTTGAGCCTATGAGGAAGATTATGTCTTCTGTCATGCCAGAAGGAGCTTCTGTGCAAGAGCATGTTCTCAAGACGATGGAATATTCAGTGAGATAGATGTTCTCGGAGGAAATATCGATGGCGATGCCAAGATCGATATCATCCTGCACTCGCTCCCGAAGTCCTATGAGAACTTCCGCCTGAATGAAATCATGAATAAGAAGGGCTATACTTTATCTGAGCTTCTTACAGACTTGGTTGCAGCAGAGGGTCTTATGGGAAAGGGACCACATGCTCATGTTTCTGTAGAGGCTGAACCTTCTTTGTCGAAAGGCAGGAAGAAGAAGATAAAGCAAGTGCAGAAAATGAGTAGTGGAACCAGTGGGAGCAGTGGGAATGGTGGGAGCAAAGCGGCGCCTTCTGGTGGTGTGGTGAAGCCGAAAGGCAAGTGCTTCAAGTACAACAAGACAGGACATTGGAAGACAGATTGTCCCCTCAAGGACGTTCCTGGTACGTCTCTTGCTTTAGTTGTCGAAACATGTTTTGCGGCTTGTTCTACCAGTTCTTGGGTAGTGGATACATGAGCCAATGATCATGTTTGTTATACTTTGCAGGGGTTTCTGCAAAGAAGGCAACTCAGTGAGGGCGAGATTACCATCGCTTGGGCAACGCTGCACGAGTGGCGGTGGTTGCAGTGGAAGATGTGCACTTATCATTTTCTGATTCTGTTTTAGTATTAAAGAACGTTTTGTACGTGCCGAGTTTTTAGAAGAATTTAATTTCAGTTTCGAAGTTGTTTTTGGATGGATATTCAGTTATCTTTAATGACAATGTTGTTATTATAATAAATAACTCTTTTATTTGTTCTGACATGTTGGTTTACAATCTTTACACGATTACTTGTGCATATCATACTGTGACTGAGGCTCATGCATTTTCATCACTAACAAGAGAAAGGAACCTTCTCAGTCGAATCAGACATATCTTTGGCACCTAAGTTTGAGTCATGTCAATCTAAGGAGGATCGAAAGGCTGGTAGGTAATGGCTTCTTGGACACTCTCCAAGTTGAACCATTTCCAGTCTGCGAATCCTGTTTGGAAGACAAGATGACTTCTAGGCCCTTTAAGGCCAAGGGGAATAGGTCCAATGATGTGTTGGAATTGATTCACTCTAATTTCTGTGGGCCTATGTCTATTCAAGCTAGAGGTGGTTTTGAGTATTTCGTTACTTTTATTGACGATTACTCAAGATATGGGTAAATTTACATGATGCACCGCAAGTCTGAATGCTTTGACAAGTTCAGAGAATTCAAGGCAGAAGCGGAGAACCGTCAAAGGAAGAGTATCAAGTCACTGCGATCTGATCGTGGTAGCGAATACCTTAGCAATGAATTGAGGCAATACTTATTGGCGAATGGGATTACATCCCAACTAACTGTGTCTGGTACTCCCCAACAGAATGGCGTAACAGAGATAAGGAATAGGACTCTGTTGGAAATGGTGAGATCAATGATGAGCTATGCTTCATTACCTACCTCGTTTTGGGGATATGCCTTGAAAACGGCGGCGTACCTTCTAAATCAGTTCCGAAAACTCCAATAGAATTGTGGTCCAGGCGCAAGCCCAGTTTAAACCACTTTCAGATTTAGGGCTGCCCAGCACATGTGTTGGATAAGAAAGCTGATAAATTGGCACCTAGAACAGAAGTACGGCTGTTTGTAGGTTACCCAAAGAGAACGAGAGGTGGTTACTTTTATAGTCCTAAAGATCAGAGGGTAGTGGTTATCACCAAGGCCCGAGTTTTAGAGGAAGACTATATGAGTGAGCATAAGTCCAAGAGTGAGATTATTCTCAAAGAGTTGAGGGCAAACAATGGCATACCGAGTGTGCAAGAGGATATACCACAAGAGATGCACAACATGTTGTCTCTGATGTATTTACACCTGAATTGCCTTGTCGTAGTGGGAGGGTTGTTCGTCAACCCGATCGTTTCATGTTTGTGGGAGAGTCTTCGGACTTGATCCGAAGTGAAGAGCATGATAGTGATCCCTGGACCTACAATGAGGCAATCCAAGACGTAGATGCAGATTCTTGGCAGAAATCTATGGATTCTGAGATTGAATCTATAGATGCTATGGAGGTATACGACCTTAGGGACCTTCCTGAAGGCAAGAAAGCCATTGGGTGCGAATGGGTCTATAGGCGTAAGAGAGGATCTGACGGGATGGCTATTTTCTTCAAAGCACGGCTAGTTGCGAAGGGTTTTACTCAGAAAGAAGGAATCGATTATGATGAGACCTTCTCACTGGTAGCCATGCTTAAGTCGTTCCGGATTCTCTTATCCAGAGCAAGTCACATGGACTATAAGGTTTGGCAAATGGATGTCAAGACATCTTTCCTTAACGGAAACTTGGATGAAGGCATACATATGCAGCAACCCGAGGGTTATGTTAAGAAAGGCCAAGAGCATCGAGTATGGAAGCTAAAGAAGTCTCTTTATGGACTAAAACAAGCTTCTAGGTCTTGGAATATTCGTTTTGACAAGGTGATCAAGTCCTATTGATTTGATCAATGTCAAGGTGAAAGTTGTGTATACAAAATGAGCAACGGAAACGTAGTGGTATTCTTAGTACTATACGTAGATGATATTCTTCTCATCGACAACGATGTCAAGATTTTGTCAGACGTCAAGGTATGACTTTCAGAACAGTTTCAAATGAAGGACTTGTGTGAGGCATCGTACATTCTTGGAATCTAGGTCATTCGTGACAGGAAGAAGGGAATGTTGTGTTATCTCAAGTTGCTTACCTTGATACTGTGATTGCTGGTTTCAGCATGCAGAACTCTAAGAAAGGGTTGCTATCTTTTCCTCATGGAGTTCTTCTATCTAAGGATATGTGTCCGAAGACACAAAAGAAGATAGAGGAAATGGCTAAGGTTCCTTATGCTTCAGCTGCAAGAAGCCTTATGTATGCCATGTTGTGCACGAGGCCTGATATTGGCTATGCAGTTGGCATGGTAGCGAGATATCAGTCTAACCTGGTCAAGGACAATGGACTACGGTAATGCATATTCTCAAGTATCTGAAAAGAACTCGGGATTATATGTATTTTTACCAGTCAGACGGTCTAACTCCTTTGGGTTAAACAGATTCTGATTTCCAAGCTGATCGAGATAAGAGACTTATGTGTTTATGATGGGAGGTGGAATGATCTCATGGAGGAGTGTGAAGCAGAAATGCATCGCAGATTCTACCATGGAAGCCGAATACGTTGCTGCTTCAGAAGCAACAAAAGAGGTTGTTTGTCTCAGGAGCTTCTTACTGGACTTAGGGGTATCTTTGAGTGTGCCTAAATGTATCACAATTTATTGTGACAACGCTGGTGCAGTCGCAAACTCGAGAGAACCCCGAGCACATAAGGCCAGCAAACACATCGAGAGAAAGTACTACTTTATACGAGAGATCGTGTAACAAGGAGATGTAGTTGTGACGAAGATAGCATCGTTGGATAACCTAGCTGATCCTTTCACGAAGACTCTGACTGTCAATGTCTTCGAGAAACACGTAGAGGGTCTTGGTTTACGACGTGTGGCAGCTAGACTTTGAGTATAAGTGGGAGAATTGTTATGACATATGTTTATATACTAAAATTTCAGATTTAGTATAAGTGGGAGATTTTTGGGGTATACAGTAGAGCAAACTTTTATGTGAGCTTTTGGATTGTATTTATTCGATTTACTATTTGACTGAAATAAATGTTTTCACATTGTTGCATTCTTTATGATTGCTTGAATGCTAAATGTCAAATTATCTTATATTGTAGACAATGTGGTGTGTGAGTAGTCACACAGAAGATTACATTGTCGGTCCCTTATAAGATATAAATGGTATTCACAACTGAGATAGTTATGGACATGACTATCGATTTAGGTTGTAGTATAAACTGGATAAAGCTTGTCTTGGCTATTGGTTTATACTAGTGCGCTGCGTCGCATTGAATGGATCACAGTTGAGACGTGTTCTTCTATTCTGACTATCATGAAGAACCTAGGTCTCGGTGACTCTACTAATTCTTAATCCTAACTGTGACACTTAGATATGTGGGATATTTGTTTGTTACTTTCATTTACCATGGGTAAGAACCAAGTATTGGTTAAATATGCTCTGTATCTTAGGTAACGACATTATCTGCATTATATCTATTTATTTGCATTAGGGCACCGTGTCCTGGACATCCAGGTTGATGACGTCCCCTTAAGGAACTCATAAGGATTATTGTATAAACCCTGCAGGTGGATTTAATCCGTACGATAATAAGGTTGAGTGTTACTACTTGAAGAATAAAAGATATTAATTAATTAAAGCAGTCAGAAGCTTTAATAATTAATGGACGTGCGATATCTTAAACACGGGGAATTATATCGAGTATAATAGAAGTCCTGATTTATTTCGGTATAGGACGAGAGTGCAATATTAATTCTCTAGTGGAATGAATTAATATTTACGGGCCAAATTGTGTTATGGGCTGAACATAAGAATTTGGGCCTATAGGGAGCCCAAACCCTATACCTTTTAAGAGATCCCTAGTCTAGCCCAAGGACTCTATAAAAGGAGGGATAAGCACACGTTCTAGAACCCTAAGAAAACTGATCACGTCTTTAGCCACCACAGAAAATGTGGAAGAGGAGGAAAACGTGAGGGGTTCATAGAAGAACGAAAGGCAATTCGCTCCTTGATACCGCTTGGAGGATCGTCGTCCATCCAACATCCAAGCGTAGTCGGGACACAGACTAGAAGGTCGCTCAGATCGAATCAATCCTCCATTTCAAGATAATTCTCTGTTTGTCCTTTAGGAGCATTCATAGGGTTATTCGAAATCATGTATGTAAGTGTTTGGTATCGGATATCGATCCAGGGGAAGGACCTCCTCGTCGGCGTGTTCTAGCAATTGGTATCAGAGTCGTGGTTTCGTGGATTATCGGCTCTGCTTGGAACATGTACTTGATTTCATTTATTCATTTATTCGTTTACAGTAATGTTCATGGTATGGATTATTGTTTATCTCGTTTATGCTTCTGGACGGTGTCTACTGCAGCCCTTGTGTATTGTTGTAATCGTTTTTCCCACCAGATAATAAGTGTGGGTAGTATAGGCGATTTTGTACTGTAGTTGGGCTGTTTTTGTTCGATTTTTGCTGTAATTTTGTGTTCAAAGTCGAACGTGATGTAGATGATCAGCCTGTGGCGGGGTCAAATTCTATCGTCTAGATGAAGTTTTCGGCCCTTTTCCTCGGTGGATGCCGATTTTGCGTGAATGGCCTGATTAACACGAGATGTCGATTCGAGTGTTCATCCACGACCTTGCTGAATCATGTAATAGCTTTGATAGGCTATTAGTGGCTGGTTTTTAAGGGGCTGCGATAGATGTGTTTTAATTTTCGCATTTTTTTATCACTTGTGGATGCCGATTTAATTTTCGCTAGAGCATGTTTATTTGATTATGTGTCTAGCTGATTTATATCGATTTACTTGGCTCAGGA